GCCCATTGCTGCCTCATGGGCATCCTGGTGTCCATCAGGACCCCCAGGTCATTCTCCTCAGAGCTGCTCTCCAGCAGGTCACCCCCAGCCTCTCCTGGTGCAGGGGGTTATTCCTCCTCAGGTGCAGCACCCAACATTTGCCCTTGTTGAAGTTCATCAGGTTCCTCTCTGCCCAGCTCTCCAGCCTGTCCAGGTCTCTCTGGATGGCAGCACAGCCCTCCATTGTGTCAACCACCCCTCCCAGTTTTGTATCGTCAGCAAACTTGCTGAGGGTACGCTCCATCCCCTTGGCCAGGCCATTGATGAATATATTGAAGAGGACTGGACCCAGTACTGACCCCTGGGGGACTCCACTTGCTACAGACCTCCAACTAGATTCTGTGCCCCGAGTAACAACTCTCTGAGCTCTGTCTTTCAGCCAGTTTTCAATCCACCTCACTGTCCATTCCTCTAATCCACACTTCCTAAGCTTATCTATCAGGATGCTGTCAAAAGCCTTGCTGAAGTCAAGGTAGACAACATCCACTGCCCTCCCCTCTTCTATCCAGCCAGTGATGCCATCGTAGAAGTCTATCAGGTTAGTCAGACATGACTTCCCCTTGGAGATTCCATGTTGACGACTTCTGATATCTTTCTTTTCCTCCATATCCTTTGAGATGACACCCAGAAGGAGTCGTTCCACCATCTTTCCAGGGATGGAGGTTTGGAGGCCTACATGACAGGTTGCAGGAGCCACTGAAGGATAAAGTGAATCGAGCCAGTTTGTGGTGGTGAAAGCCATCCAGCCCACCTGGGTGCCAGAACTGTGGCAAGATACTGCTGCCCGGATAGAGAATCTGGTTGTGAATGTACGTTGCGTAGATGCCCATGTACCCAAGAGTCGGACCACTGAGGAACTTCAGAACAATCAGCAGGTGGACTGGGATGTTAAGGTTGAAGTGGCTCAGGTGGATCTGGACTGGCAACATAAGGGTGACATGCAACAGCCCAGCCCCACACACCATCTTGCCTGCCCCAAGAGACTGTTCTACTAGATGGATCCCAAAGTCCTGGAGTCAATGAACTCAAGGGATATTTTAGAGGGATGGCCCATGGACTACGAGAATTACATCTGGATGAGGAAGAGGAGACTGAGGGGTGACCTCATCACTCTCTACAACTACTTGAAAGGACGCTGTAGAGAGGTTGGTGCTGGTCTCTTCTCCCAGGTAATGAGTGTTAGAACAAGAGGGAATGGCTTCAAGCTGCAACAGGGTAGGTTTAAATTGAACATTAGGAAAGAGTTGTTCACAGAAAGAGTAGTCAGGCATTGGACTAGGCTGCCCAGGGAGGGGCTTGAGTCACCGTCCTTGGATGTGTTGAAGAGTCGTTTAGATGTGGTGTTGGGGGATATGGTGTAGGGGAGAACTTTGTAGAGTAGGGGAGATGGTTGGACTCAATGATCCCAAGGGTCTCTTCCAACCTCAATGATTCTATGATTCTATGATATACATACTTCCAAGACAGGGAAAGGTGGTGGTAGTTAATTGGAAACGGTAAGATCCGGGCCTGCCATAGATGCTATAGCATAAGGGGTGGATAAAGTCCTGGTTCTGGAGGAGGTAGGGTTAATTTTCCCAAGGAGCTGGCACAGGACACAGGTATTCCATATCATACATCCCCCTTCCTCCTCCTGTCCCCAGATTCTCTCGCTGAGCGGGCTATGAGGTGGTGTGGGCCAGCGTCCGCCCCAGTCAGTGGTCCTGGCCGTGCTCCCTCCCGGCTTTGTGCCCCCCGGTTCCACTGGCTGGCGCACGGGGAGAGGAAAGGGTCTTGGGGCTGCGCCAGCTCTGCTGAGCCACCGCCACACAGAGACATGTCACTGACTGTCCTGGGTTGAGAGACACAGGACTAACTTGTCTTCTAATGCTGGGGAAAATGGCACTTCTAGAAGACTCTAGTGTCGGAATTTGTGAACATTTTTACTTTCTCGCCAGCCAGGCTCTGCGGGATTCAAGTTTTTAGTGTTTTCAAGCCTTGCCAGGTGCAGGGATGAGGAGGAGCAAGGCCTGGGCGTTTGACCCAGGCTGCCCAACAGGATTCTTTCATGCCATGAACGTCACACTCAATCTAAATTAGCAAAGTTTGCTGCGTAGCTCTCTCCCCCTTGGTGGCGGTGGGTCCAGACAACTCCTTGTCCCGGTGCCGGAGCCCTGAGGCCTTCCCTTCCTCCTGAAGCCGTTGCGCTCGCAGTGTCCGCCATTTGCTGTCCCTGCTGGGAGTGCTCAGCTTCCTGCTGAGAGAATTGGCTGAGTCTAATTCCTGTATGTCTTATATCAGTATCGGGATTAATACTGGTTCTTTACTATTATTGTTAATTATTTAGTCTTGGTCTCTTAAATCTATTTCTATTTCAACCCTTGTGTTTCTTTGTGTTCCCCAATTCCCCTTTCCGGGTGGGGAGGGGTCATGGCGTGACAGAGTAAGTGTCTAAACGACAATAGGTTGTTAAGGGTTTTCTCAAACCGTAACACTGACCCAGCAGAGGGTGACAAATACTGCCTTATGCGGTATGCCCTGGGCCACGACGGAGGGACGGAGGGATGAGGAGGGACTCTTTACCAGGGTGATAGGGCAAGGGTGATAGTGATGGGAAAAGGGGTAACGGTTTTAAACTGGAAGAGGGGAGACTGAGAGGAGGTGTCAGGGGGAAATTCTTTGCTGTGAGGGTCTTTGCGCCTTCCTGAGGGTGGCTCTGTCCCACCGCCTCTTTGGAAAATGAAACCCAGAGCTCTGTGGGAAGCAGAGATGTAGAAGAGACAAAGCTATGACTTTTCTGTCTCAAATCATAGAATCATAGAATTGTTCGGGTTGGAAGGGACCTTTAAGATCATCTAGTCCAACCACCAACCAAACTCTGACAAAAACCATCCCTAAACCATGTCACTAAGCACCATGTCAACCCGGCTTTTAAATCCCTCCAGGGATGGTGCCTCAACCACTGGCCTGGGCAGCCCATTCCAAGGCTTAATAACCCTTTCAGGGTAAAAACTGTTCCTAATCTCCAATCTGAACCTCCCCTGGCACAACTTGAGGCCGTTTCCTCTTGTCCCATAGCCTGTTCCTTGGGAGAAGAGACCGACCCCCCCTGGCTACACCCTCCTTTCAGGGAGTTGGAGAAAGCGAGAAGGTCTCCCCTCAGCCTCTTTTGAGAAGATCCACAAAACACAAGGAAAGCCACAAAACAGTGCAAACCCAACAGATTGGTGTGTTTCCCTGCAATTTTATCTCAGCCACGTTCTGGCCTGCCAGCCATTGTGTGCATGTGGCAACCAGCCCAGGTGACAGCGGGGCCCTTTGTGACCTCCTCTGTGACACGCTGGGTGCCGGTGTGATCCCAGCCCCTCGGTGTCCAGCTGGGTGGGAGCACAGGGCTGGGGAGTGGTGCCACATAGAACCATAGAATGGTCTGGGCTGGAAGGGCCATCCAAAGGCCATCCAGTCTGACCTCCCCGCAGTCAGCAGGGACATCCCCAACTAGACCAGGTTGCCCAGGGCCACATCGAGCCTCACCTTGAAAATCTCCAGGGAAGGGGCCCCAACCACCTCCCTGCGCAACCAGTGTTCCACCACCTTCACAGTAAAGAACTTGTTCCTAAGATCCAATCTAAATGTGCTCTTCTCCAGCTTCAAGCCATTGCCCCTCGTCCTGTCACTGCAGGCCTTTGGAAACAGACTCTCCCCAGCTTTCCGGTACCCCCCCTTCAGGGTAGGTCACTAGTAGGTCTCCCCAGAGCCTCCTCTTCTCCAGGCTGAACAACCCCAGCTCCCTCAGCCTGTCCTCGTAGCAGAGGGGCTCCAACCCCCTGAGCATTTTTGTGGCCCTCCTCTGGACCCGCTCCATCAGGTCCTTGTCCTTCCCGTATTGAGGGCTCCAGACCCGGACACAGCGCTCCAAGTGAGGTCTCACCAGAGCAGGGCAAAGTGGCAGAATCACTTCCCTGGATCTGCTAGCAACACTTCTTTTGATGCAGCCCAGGATGGGGGAATTGGCCTTCTGGGCTGCAAGGTCCCACTGCCTGCTCATGTCCAGGTGCTCATGTCCATCAGCACCCCCAAGTCCCTTTCCTCAGGGCTGCTTTCTAATACCTCACCCCCCAGCCTGTACTGATGATGGCGAGGATTGTTCCGGCCCAGGTGCAGACCCCTGCACTTGCTCTGTTGAATCTCATGAGGTTCACCTGGGCCCACCTCTCCAGCCTGTCCAGGTCCCTCTGGATGGCATCCCATCCCTCTGGTGGATCGACAACACCACACAGCTTGGTGTCATCTACAAACTTGCTGATGGTGCTCTCAATCCCTCGGTCTCTATTGTTGATAAAAAAAACACGGGCGGCACAGGCAGGGCAACAGGCTGCTTCTCCTGCGGCAGGCTGCCCTGGCAGGTAGAGGGCTGCTGGGCTGGGAGCCCCCGGAGCCCCCGGTTCATTTTCGGCTGCACCTTCTCTTCCCTCTTTCCCCCCATTATCCTGAATGCTCCGCTTCCAAGATTATTGGTTTGTGGTGGGGTGTAGTGTGTGGGGTTGTGGGTGTGGGGTTTAGTTGGTAGGTGGTGGGTTTGGGATGTTGTTTTTGTGTTTTGTGGTTTTATTTTTTATGTGGTTGGACTTGATGATCTCGGAGGTCCCTTCCAACCACTAAGATTCTGTGATTCTGTGATCCTGGATGCTCCGCTTCCATGTGTTCCATGCCTGCCCCTCCCTGCCTGGGGGGCAGGTCACAGTGGGGCCCTTTGTGACCTCACCTGGAGACACCCCGCTGCTCTGCGTGTGGTCAGCGTGGCTGCGGCCCCCTGCCCGCAGTGTCCGGCAGGACAGCCACAGGACAGGGCAGGAGCGGAGCGAGCCCAGAGCCCCCGAGCGCAGCCCGTGTCTTTCCTTGCTGCCCCTGGCAGCCTCACAGTGCCGAGGCCTTGCGCCAAGGCTTCCTCCTTCCCCTTCCCTTTGCCTCCATCCCACAGGATGGCAGAGAGACCCCCCAGCCGCCCCAGGGTGGCCTGGGAGGAGAAGGGGGCTCCCCGGGAGCGCAGATCTCCACCGGAGCCCTATGAAGTGACCATGGTCAAGCCGCTGGAGATGGGTGAGTGAGGGGCCCTGTTGGTCTGGGCAGGGCTGGGGCCAGCGAGGGCACCCTGCTCCAGGCCAGGGTCACCTTTTCCTGGCAGGCTGGCAGGGGAGTCCCATGGGTGGTGGGCATGGTGCTGCCTGAAGGCCGGGGCTGTCGGGGCTGGGAACGGGCCCCGGCACAGCCTCTCCCGCTGCGCCGTGCTCCGACATGGCAGCCCGTCTGCCGGGCACCCTCCGGCCCTGACACCGGTGGGAAGAAGGCGCCAGGGGAGCGGGCACGGGGCTGGACGGAGGGCAGATCTCCTTCCTCTGCCCTCCTGCCAGCAGCCCCTCTCTACAGCCCTCCCTGCTCCCCTCCTTTTGTAGATTTCGAACAGGTACCACTCTACAGAGAGGAAAAGGCGACCATGGACTTTATCCGGGCCTTTGTCCGCTGCCCAGAAGAGGTAATGGCGGCCATTTCCCCTGCAGCTCTGCCGACATCTCCTGCCAGGGGCTCTGCTGCCGGGCTGCTGGAGGTGTGCTGGCTGGGCAGAGCTGCTTCTCCCCGCTCTGCCACACGGCCCTGCACCCCCGAGGCTCCGCTCCCGCCGGCCGTGGGGCCCCCCTCTCACGCTGCCTTTGTCTCTCTGTCCCCGCGGCTGCCAGGACACGGAGCAGAAGATGGAGTTTCTTGACTGCATCTACATGCTGTTCAGAGCAGCCAAGGCCCGTTACTTGACAGAGGGCCTCGATGACTTCTGCTACAAATATGAGCTGGCAGAGAATGTCAAGGTGAGAGCACACCGGGCGGCTCTGGGGAAGGGGGCAAGGCCCCCCCAGCACCGGCCCCCGCTGAGGACAACGCTGGGGCAGGGCGAGGGTCTGGTGGCCCTGGGAGCTGCCAGGTCCCATCCCGGTTGTCCTCTGCAGATGCTGCTGGAAAAGGAGCCCAGGGACAACCTGAGCACAGCAGTGCGGTGGAAAGCCATGCTTGCCATCGCCGAACTGAGGTACCTGCCCATCCCTGCCCCAGAGGCCCATGTCCACCCGCATGAGGCCTCGAGGCGCTGCTCCAGTCCACTGCACCAGTGTCTGACAGGCCCCTCTTTCTCTCTGCAGCTCAGTGAGGATAGCGCTGGAGGGCAAAGAGGATAGCCTCCTAGAAGCCTGCTTCTCGAGGGTCTTGTCCCTTCCTCCTAAAGAGGAAATGCAGGACACTAACCTCTACATGCTGGTAAGTGCTGGGAGCCCCTAGTCCCTCTGGGCTGCTCCCTGGCCCGAGCTGTGGTATGACCAGAGGTCCATAGCAGAGTAGGGTCTTGGCTTTGCTTTCCCATCCTCATCCCTTTGTCCCCTTCGCGTAGGCCTGGCAAACCTCCAGTGCTGCAGGCTGCTCTGCATGCAGCAGATTGTCTGCCCTTGGGTCTCTCCTGGGCACTGCGAGGCAGCACGGGAGCCCTCCCTTGGCTCTGGGGGTTCAGAGCAGTCTCCTGGGGGCGAGAGGGACAGCAGAATCCCCGGCATGACTCTTTGCCCTCTTTGCAGACCATGAACACCATGGACACCATGCTGAAAACGTTGGTGCTCAACTGTCCTGTCTTCAGAATCAGCGAGTTGGTGCAGATGATCTTGCAGGTCTGGCATGTGCAAAGAGTGGACTTCACAAGGGTTGTTCCTCACCCCGGAGGGAAGGAGGTGTCCACTCTGGAGTGGATGGTCCTGCTTCAGGTGCCATGCAGAGACAGCATACTGCCGGGAGGGTGCCCACCTCCCTTGGGCCACCAGGGGCTGCCCAACAGGCTCTTCCCGAGCGCAGTGGCTGCAGAGGGTGGCATCTGCCTTCCTGCCTGGCCACACGGTTGGTCCGGGGAATTTGTCCCAAGCCTGGGAGCTCCCCTAGGGCAGGAACTACAGGCTTTCCTTGAGAACCTTAATGGGCTGTGTGAGTCCAGCCCAGGAGGTCAGCAGTGGTGCTTCTGGCAGGGCTCACCAGCAGCTTCTCTCTTCCCAGATGCTGCTGGACTTCACCGACTCCGAGATGGTAGCTGTGCAGGAGAGGGCCCTGGACAGGATTAAGGTGCTGTGCAATCTGGTGGCCGACAATGCCACCCTGGAGGTAAGGAGCCAGGCCCTCTCCCGCCAGGCCATCTCCCCTTCCCTGCACACCACAGCAGCCACAGCTCTCCCTGCACGCGACGGCTGCTCTGGGGGCCGTGGCCGGCACAGCCCTGCAGAGCCCTGACCCTGACCTTGGGTTCAGGGCTTTGGCACCACCTCAGTCTTTCTCCTTCCCTCACAGTTTGGAAGAGACACATATGACCTTGTCTACCATGGAGATCTGCAGATCCCAATTCTGGGAACGCTGCTGGGACGACTCCTCCTTTTCTATTCTTCCAAGGAAAGGACACACTTTCCAGCTTTTGATGCTCTTAACGAACTCCACAGATTCGTCCATAACCAAAAAAGTAAGAGAAACAACCCGCAATGGTGGGCTTCATCCCTTTGCACACAGACATCTCCTGATAGGTCTGCTTCTCTCACTGACCTCCTTTGCCCTTCACAGCTGCTTCCCAGCTGTCATTTTGCTGCAGAAGCCAAGTGCTCTCCTGCCATCCAGGATCTGTTCTCTGCTACTCTCCTTCCTCCCTCCTTTCAGCATCTTGAACCCCACTCGCTCTTTTGTGGTCCCTACAGCCAAAGCTACCATTGATTCTCATGTCCCAAAGCCATGCCTTCCCTGTTGGGGAAGAGCAGATCCATCTGTGCATCAGCCCAGCTGGTCTCCAGTGCCTGAAGCTGTCCCTGATGCCTTCCAGAAATGCCCTGGACCGCTTGTGTCCTGCCGTCTTGCAAGCGGATCTCAGGGCAGTTTGGTAAGATTGCTGGCAAAGCTGCTGTGTATGAAGGACTCTTCTGTGTTTCCCCTGCTATTTAGGCAGGTCAGTGGCAAAGGATGGAGCATCAAGGCGTGATGGGAAAACTGACACCAGCTGCTACATGAAGCTCTGCACCGCCAGAGACTTTGCCATGGTAATGATTTTCCCCTTGCTGGGCCTCCTGTCTGAGGCATCAAGAGAGGACTTGAGCAAGCAAAGGCATCCAGAATCAGTGGGGTGGGGTGGCCACACTGGCCCTGGTGATAGGCTTCCTTCTGTCCCCGAGCAGGGACGCTGTGAAGGCTGCACGCCGGTGTCCCAGCAGTAGCTCCAGCCCTCCTGGCCACCAGCGAGCCCTGGTTCTCTGTAGGGCCAGCACGCTGTGCCCATGAACCCAAGCCTCCTCCCTCACCTTGGGGACCCTCTGCTCTCATCCGCCACCCTGCAGGGACTGCAGCGCCTGCTGCCAGCTTTCCTGCGGGCACTGCCACCGGCACTGCCAGGCATCTCTCGCCAGGGCTGCTCACATGGCCCAGCTAAGCCGCACCATCAGGGGACTCAGCGTGACGTCTTTGCTCCCTTCCTTCCTCCCTCCCACAGGAGTTTGCCAAACACCTCACACATTATGAGGCGGCTGACGTTGTCTGTGTGGCCATTGAGGCACTGAGAGACTCCAGCATCTTCGACAAGGAGGCGGCAAGAAACATGCTGGATCTGTTCATGACATACCCCGGCTTCTGGCTGGTGGATGTAAGTGACTGTGGTTGGATTGCCCTGCCCTTGAGCCCTGTCAGGCCTTGTTCCTCCCTGCCTCCCTCCCACACCCAGGTGTCTCGGGCACCTGAAGCCACCTTCAGCCAGCAGAGAGGGATGGGAAGGGCAGCTGAGGAAACAGCTGGCTCCAGTGGCAGCCCCATCCTCACCCGTGCCTTGAGCCCTGTCAGGCCTTGTTCCTCCCTGCCTCCCTCCCACACCCAGGTGTCTCGGGCACCTGAAGCCACCTTCAGCCAGCAGAGAGGGATGGGAAGGGCAGCTGAGGAAACAGCTGGCTCCAGTGGCAGCCCCATCCTCACCCGTGTCCCCTCCAGGTGCCAAAGATCATGAGCTGCATCCGGGAAAACCTGGAACGTATCAACATGGAGTCAGCCCGGCAAAGCATGGAGTCACTGCTTCTTGCGCTGACTCACCTGGACCCCAGCAAAGTGTTCCTGAGCCTGTTGAAGTTCTCGGCAACCAGAGACAGGTACTGGCCCCAAAAGCCATGCGGGTTTGTTCCCTGTGGGAGACGGACCCAGAGGCGCTCTGGCTGCCAGACCCAAGGAATACTGCAGGACATCCCTGTGGAGCAAGGCCCTCCATCCCACCACACTTTCCAGCCCTGGTGGGTCGGCCAGGCTGCAGCAGCCAGAGCCAGCCCAGCCAGCCCAGAGCGGGTGTGGGGTTCCCAGCCCCACAGGGAGCTCGGCCCCCTCTGGCTGCCCAGGGCATCCCAACCGAGGGGCAGGGCATAGCAATGCGGGGCTGGCTGCGGCCATGCTGCTGTGGCCGAGGCAGCCCTGCTGACAGAGTGCTCTGGCTTTCAGCGACGGCAGGGCAATGTGGGAGGCGATGTTTTGCATCCCCCAGACTTTGGAGAAGATCTTAGAGGAGCTCCTCGACAAACTCCAGGGCAGGAAATCGTGCAGCCCAGTCCCCATGGCCACCGAGAAGGCCTACATCCTTCACTTGGCTGTGAGTTACCTTGACAAAAGTGAAAAAGCCTTGCTCGCCTTCAGCGAGCCCTGCAGGCTGTGCCAATATCTCACTGCTGTGTTTGTTTCAGCTGATGGCCTCCACTCAGCTTCAATCAGATGATTGGGGTAATGCCTCTCAGAGCAATACGAACGTGGTGACAGCCTTGCAGTTGCTCAGATGCCTCATCCCGCTCTCACAGACACCTGACTTGGTGAGCAGGGTGTCACTAAGGGGAGGCACGTTGGCAGCCGGGGCCTGGGGCAGTGGGTGAGGTGGTGGCTTGGCGGTGGCTGGGAGACGGGCAGTGGGATGACTGCTCCACATGCCCTCCCTGCCATGGTGGGCCTTGGTGGCTGCCTGGGGAGCTTTCCAGGCACAAATGGTTACCTATCCATGTGCCCCTTTGGGCCTGTAGGAAAATGAGGTGGCTGAGCAGGGGACGGGGAGTCTTTGCTTTCCTGCTCTCCCTCTGCTCTCCTGCATCCCCATCAGTGTGCCCATGGCCACCACCTGCCAGGAGGCTGCTGCAGAAATTCCTGTGGCACCACCTGCCAGGACGCCGGACAGGAGGCTGGTGCTCAGTGACCAGAGCATTTTTGCTGGGGTGGTCTTTGAACATTTCTCAAAAAAGAAAACTGTCTTTCCTATAGGCAATAAAAATGAAGGTCCTCCTGCCACACCTGATGGAGTTGCTCCAGTTAGGTCACATCAACATCAAGATGAATGTCCTGGTCATCTTCCAAAATGTGATGCATCACCTGGAGACAAAGGAGGCCAGCTCCATTGCTGTGCAGCTGGCAGAGAACCTCCTGCCCATCTTTGATGCTGTAAGGCTGATGTGGGAGACTGAGCCCTGCAGATGGGCACTCTGCGATGAGAGCTGCCCTTCAGCCCAGCCCCGTGGGCAGCACTCGGAGCAGGGTCTGCTCCCCTGGTTCTGCTGGGATGGCTTCTGGGCTTTGCAGCCCAGCAGGGCTTCTCCCTCCTGCAGAATCTGGCCCCGGAGCATCTCCCCTCCCATCTGCCAGGCTCTCGCCCTTGGGCTGATGCTCCCAGGATGCAGGGAGGGGCTCTTCTCAAGTCCCCCTCTCCCCGGGTTCTGCAGAGACACGGAGTGATGAAGGTCCCCTGGTGAAACTGGCCACACGTGAATAAAGCTGGACCAAGCAGCCCAGTCCCTCAGTGTCCTTCACGCAGGGAGCAGCGTGAGCGTGCCAAGCTGACAGCATTGTCCCTGGCCTCTACTGCTGCCTGCAGGACAGCTGCTGAGGCTTGTGAATTGTTTAAGTTTTAGAGTTGACTAAATTCCTTAGGATCATAATTTGGTGTGATTTGTGCTGCTTGCTTGGCTCTGCTTAGCGTGAGCAGCTACATTTGCTGAAACCTTTGGGCTGTGAGAAGTCCCTTCTTCTCAGCATCCTTCCTGCAACAGTCCTGGGGTCCCCTCCCAGCTACGCTGCCTCCCTTCAGCCCTCCTCCAGCGCAGCCCAGAGGAAGGGCCCTGCAGACCCAGCACCAGCAGGGGCAGAGAAGCTGGCACAGACATTGCCCACCCCTGCCCTGCCCGTGGCCCGAGGTGTGAATACGTGCGTCCCCACAGGCTTCCCTGCTGTCCCTGCAGCTGCTGGAGGCCATGGCCTGGAGGCTCAATCCCTGTCCCCCCAGGCTGTGCCCAAGAGAACCCCAGAGGTTTAGGCCAGGGCATGTCCCAGCACCCCAAGGGCAGGATCACGCCGGGAAGGAAGCCAAGAGGAGTGGGGACCACCAGGTCTCCTTCCCCAGGCTGTGGGGCCATCTCCCAGCTTTTGCCGCTCTGCAGGCCTCCGAGGAAGCCTTCCTTGCTACAGCAGAACTCCTCAGATGGAACATGGATCTGGATTCAGGAACACACGGATCGGGATCAAAGGGAGACGAACAGACAGTCCTTCTTGGACATCAGCCATGAAAGCAGGAGAGCTGACCCTTTGATCTTCAGCATTTATACTGAGTGTGATGCAGAATGGCTGTGGGGGCCGGTCTCCCCCCGGAGGAAGGTGACGCTCTCACCCTTAGCAACAGGGGTGCTGGGAGGAGGGATGTGTCTGGATAACTGGGGAGGGACGGTGACATGCCTGTACCATTGTGCTCTCCCCAGCTGCTGCAGGACAGGAGGAGGTCGAGAGAATACTTGGAGCAGAGCCTGCCATATCTGAACAATGCTCAGGTCCCCTTGCGAGAGATGGCCGTCAGGTTCATTGGTGAGCCTCTGGGGTCCTTCTGCTGGCAGCCTGTCCCCAGTCCTGGTGCTGCACTGGCAGCGAGCAGCAGACCCGTGGTTGCCCCGTGCAGGGCTTGGTGGCCTCTTTCTCCCAGCCCTGCCCCATGCGGGTGGGCTTGGTGGCCACCATATTGAGTCCCACCACCCTCGGGTACTGTCCTTCCCTGGGGTCAGGCCTGCTGGGGGCCAGGAGGGCATGCAGCCGAGCTGACGATGCCGGGCTGCTGGGGCGTGCTGGGGAGCAGGGGCCTGACAAAGTTCTATGCCTAGGGCTTGGTGCGCGGCAGCTGAGGGGCCGAAATGAGAAGCAGCTGGAGGATATCTGCAACGGTGAGCAGGGGCAGTGCTGGGCTGGCTGGGGCTGGTGGGGCAGGGGCCAGAGCCTGGGCAGGGTACTGCCACCCCTGGCCCCACTCCAGGGACCAAGGAATGCATCCAGGGGCACTTGGGGCACTCCTGAGCAGGAGCTTCCAGCTGAAACGTTGGTCTCACCTGCTCCTCCTGGCCAGAGAAAGAGAGGCATGGGGCTGGCATGGCAGGGTCTCTGCAGACAGCGGGGTTTCACCACTGCTCTGTTTCTTTCTGCCACAGCCCTCAAGCCCTTGGCGACTGATGATGAACACATGATCCAATCCCTGGCAGCTCAGACGTTGCTGACCCTGGAAACACCAAAGAAGTCAGGGTGGGCCCGACGAATACTGACCTGTGGGTTCTGCAGAGACACGGAGTGATGAAGGTCCCCTGGTGAAACTGGCCACACGTGAATAAAGCTGGACCAAGCAGCCCAGTCCCTCAGTGTCCTTCACGCAGGGAGCAGCGTGAGCGTGCCAAGCTGACAGCATTGTCCCTGGCCTCTACTGCTGCCTGCAGGACAGCTGCTGAGGCTTGTGAATTGTTTAAGTTTTAGAGTTGACTAAATTCCTTAGGATCATAATTTGGTGTGATTTGTGCTGCTTGCTTGGCTCTGCTTAGCGTGAGCAGCTACATTTGCTGAAACCTTTGGGCTGTGAGAAGTCCCTTCTTCTCAGCATCCTTCCTGCAACAGTCGGGAACTGGATTCTGGATCTGGATTCAGGAACACACGGATCGGGATCAAAGGGAGACGAACAGACAGTCCTTCTTGGACATCAGCCATGAAAGCAGGAGAGCTGACCCTTTGATCTTCAGCATTTATACTGAGTGTGATGCAGAATGGCTGTGGGGGCCGGTCTCCCCCCGGAGGAAGGTGACGCTCTCACCCTTAGCCAGAATGGATGTGGGAACCCAGACAGAGCTCCCACAGACGTAAACAGGCTGCAGGGAGTGCCAGAGCCTTTCCCTGGGAACGGGTGGCAGCCATGAGAACTACTGGGCCCATTTAGTTTGGAGAAGAGGAGGCTGAGGGGGGACCTCATTGCCCTCTACAACTCCCTGAAAGGAGGGTGCAGAGAGGTGGGGGTTGGCCTCTTCTCCCAAGGGAATAACAACAGGAGCAGAGGAAATGGTCTGAAGTTGGGGCGGGGGAGGTTTAGATTCGATCTTGGGAAGAATGACTTTGCTGAGAGGGTGCTCAGGCACTGGAACAGCCTGCCCAGGGAGGTGGTGGAGTCACCATCCCTGGAGCTGTTTAAGAAACGTGTAGACATGGCACTTCAGGGCCTGCTCTAGTGCCAGAGATTGTTGGGTTGTGTCTGTGTGTGGGTGTGGGGGGTGTGTTTGGTTGGTTGGTTTTTTCTTTGTGGTTTTTTTTTGGTTTGGTTTGGTTTTTTTGTGGTTGGAGTCGATGATCTCAAAGGTCCCTTCCAACCATGAAGATTCTGTGATTCTGTGAACTGCTGTGTGTGTTGTGACCAGTCTGCTCAGCCTGGCAGCAGAGGTGAGAGAGGAAGCCAAAAGGCTGAGGAGCATTTAGGGGGGCTGAACAAGAAATAGGCTGGTGGAGCCAGGCTCTGCCCTCCTTGAAACCAAAACAGGGGCACCTATCAGAAAGTAGCCAGGGTCAAGGAGCCCCTGTCTCCTGCCCCGGTCAGGCAGAAGCCAAATGAAAAGAGTGAATGGAGGCAAGTTCATGGTTGGGGCAGCAGACCAGCTTCCTCCTTGCCCACCTTGACCTCCCGGTACCTCTGAAGAACAGATATGAGGTTTTGCTTGAGGAAGACCAGTCAAGTGAGGATGTGGATGGTGGGCAATCGACACCAGAGATGCCTCCACAGTCAGAAAGGCTCACTGCCCATGTCACCACCACAGCCACAAGGAGGAAAAGAAGGGTTATGCTTGTTGGTGACAATATAAAGGGGAAGGGAGGGCCATATATGCCGGGTGGAGCCTCCTCGGAGGGAAGTCTGCTGTCTTCCTTGGGCCCAGGTTAAGGATGTCACCAGGAAGTTTCCTGGCTTGGTACAGTCCTCAGACTATTACCTGTTATTGATCTTCCATGTAGATGGGGAGGAAGCTACAACTTGTAGTCCAAAAGCAATCAAAGGAGATTTTCAGGGCATTGGGAGGGTTGGTGAGGAATCCGGGGCACGGGTTATTTTTACCTCGCTCCTTCCAGTTCCAGGCAATGATGCTGAGAGGAAAAGATGGATCCAGTCTATTAATATGTGGCTCCATGGCTGGTGGTACTGCCACAATTTTGTTTTTTTTTGACAATGGGATGGCCTATACAGCACTGGGCTCGCTGACATCAAATGGGAGACACCTCTCTCAAAGGAGGAAGAGGGTTCTTGCCCAAGGGATTTGGCACTGATCAACAGGGCTTTAAACTAGATGTGAAAGGGGAGGGGGATAATAATATCAGGCTCATCTGTGACAAGATGTGGGGTATCACATCAGGCTTATAGGGACGGGGTGCTGGTAAGGGCCTTCAACCTGTTGCCCTGAGACATGCTGGGGACACTGCATTGCAGTCAAAGTCTTACAGAGATGAGCCAGAGGCTCCTGAGGTCATTGGAGTCAACAGGGAAACACCCATGAAACACCTTGAGGAGTGTTCCCCTAAGAAGGTGACACAGCCAAGAGCCCAGCTGGAGTGCCTCTATACAAATGCCCGCAGCATTGGCAGCAAACAGGAGGAGCTGGAAAGCTATGACATAGTGACCATTACTGAAACCTGGTGGGACGAATCCTATGACTGGAGTGTGGCTGTTAATGGCTACAAGCAGAAGGGACAGGCAGGGAAGGAGGGGTAGAGGTGTTGCCCTCCATGTCAAGGAATGGATAGAGTGGGAAGAGATCATGGAATCATGGAATCACAGAATTGTCAGAGTTGGAAGGGACCTCTAGAGACCCTCCAGTCCAACTCCCCTGCCAAAGCAGGGCTGCCCAGAGCACATCACTCAGGAGCATCCGGGGGGGGCTTGAAGATCTCCAGAGAAGGGGACTCCACACCCTCCCTGGGCAGCCTCTGCCAGGGCTCTGCCACCCTCACCCCAAACAAGTTCTTCCTCACATTTGAATGGAACTTCCCATGTTCCAACTTGTGCCCTGTTGTCCTCGAGCAAGCAGGGCAATATCCTCCTTCCCCAACAACCCTAGTTTAAAGCTCGGTCAGTGAGCCCCACTAATTCATGAGCAAACATCCTCTTCCCCTTTTCAGGAGGATGAATCCCATCCGATGATTGCCTGGTGCCATGCTGGCCATCCCATTGTCAAAAAACCCAAAATTGTGGCACGGTGACACCAGTCCATGGAGCCACGTATTGACAGACTGAGCACTTCTGCTTCTTCCAGAGTCACTGCCTGTAACTGGGAGAAGAGAAGGGAAGACTACCTGCACCCCAGATTCCCTTACTGCCCTTCCCAAGGCCTTCAAGTCTCTTTTGATTTCCCTTGGGCTACGTGTGGCCACTCATCACCACCCACATGGAAGAGCAGTGGTGGGTAACAGTCCGAGGGACCAACCAGACTGGGAAGCTCCCTAGTGACATCCCTGACCCATGGAGGCAGCAGAATTCCCTGAGAGGAGGGTCTCCCCTGCACATCGGACCCTCTGTTCCCCTCAGAAGGGAGTCACCCACAACTACAACCCGCCTCTTCTTCCTTGGGGAGGTGGTTGTTAAACAGGGCCTTTCTGGTCCTGGTGGCTCTTCTGGTGTAGCCTGACCCTCTTCCACATCATCCATGGGCTGGCCCACCCCCTCCAGGGCTTCACACCTACTGTGTAGAGGCACCTGGGTGTTGGGGTGGGCAAGGAGGGGGTTCGCTTGCCACCCCGAGCACAGACTTGCCCCCATTCACAGCTCTCCGTTTGGCCACTGCCTTCGCTCTGGCAGGGGGTGGGTACAGGATCTCCTTTAGCTCTGGGATTTTTTGGTGGGTCTTCTCTCGGGGAGCTCGGAGCCTGATTCCACAAAAAAAAAAAAGGGAAAATTAAAAATCTCCTGAAATAGTGCAGAGAGATATTATTTTTTAAAACCAGTTAAAACCAAAAACAAAACTAGAAGAACCAAAGGAAATCCCAACCATCCTGTCATGTTACCGCTGCTGTCAGACCTCTTGTAGGTGACCCCCATGTGGGTAGCACAGTGTCCCACTCCATGGGGACATGTCTCTGCCTTGCACTCGCCCAGGGCTTGCTCCCACCCCAAAGCCATCCCACATCCCCCTGGACCCTATGTCCCCCTGTCCCACATCAGCCTGGATTCATGTTGCCCCCTTCCCACATGGTCCTGGACCCCTCATCCCATGTTTCCCCCAGCCCCACATCCCCATGTCCCACATCAGTCCTGTCCCCCCATCCTACATCGCACTGGATCCCCTTCCCATGTCTCACCTATCCCATGTCACCCTGGACCCCACATCCCACTGTCCCACATCACCCTGAACCCCCTTCCCATCTCCCACCCATCCCACATCCCACCCATCCCACATCCCCCTGTCCCACGTCACCTTGGACCCCCTGCCCCACACCCCCCCAGCCCACCCCATGGATCCAGAGCTGCCAACATGCTGTAGGATCACCATCCCTTGGAGAAACAACCCTCTGTCCATAAAAGCATCTCAGCCACGTGCAGCAGCACCACGAGGGTGTGGGTCTTGCTTCAACCCCCAGCACACCTGAGAAGTCCTCAGAGAAACCCCTAAGCCCTCCCCCAGGGTAAAGCAGTTCGAGTGAGGGGACATCGAGGCAAGTTGTGACTATAACTCACTCCCATTGACCCAATGGCTCCAGTCAGGGTAGATATTCCACCTTTGGGTGCCAGAAGACAGGGTGGGATGATCCCGGGGGAGGCACAGGGAGCACCCCGCTCCGCTCCCAGCAGAGGCAGCCCAGGAGGAACCATTCCACCCAAAGCTCCCCACTGGAGAGGGAGGGGTCAGGAAATTCAGCCCCCACTGACACAGCACAGAGGGGCAGCATGGGGACCAAGCCAGGGACGGAGTGGGTGGCATCAGCCCCACATGGGGGGGGTCACCGACACCCGTGGGGTCCCCCCACTTCCCTCCCCATCGGTGGGGTCATCAGTGAGGGCTGAAGGCAGCTACAGCCACCATCATCACCATCATCACCGGCCTCACGGACACCATGACCCACTGGGACATCCCCTACAATGCCACAGCCCTCACTGACCTCTGCAGGGCGCAGGGCAGGGCGGGTGGCACAGGGACACGGGGCATGTAGGGTGGCACAGGGACATGGGGCATGTGGGGTGGCACAGGGATCTGGGGCACGTGGGGTGGCACAGGGACATGGGACATGTGGGGTGGCACAGGGACATGGGACATGTGAGGTGGCACTGGACCCTGGCCACGTTGGGTGGCACAGTGACATGAGGCCCATGGGGTGGCACAGGGATCTGGGGCATATGAGGTGGCACGGGGGGCA